CAGTTTCTATGCTTATTTTGAACAAAGATATTGAATTTAATATTTAAGGGGCTCCCTCAGAAAATCAAGTTTTTCAGGAAAATATCGAAGTTGAGTTTTTATCATAGGAAGATGCAGCGAAACTTGAGGGTGTGGGTGTGGGTGTGGGTGTGGGTGTGGGTGTGGGTATGGCGAGGGTGGGATGTGGGTGTGGCTAGAGTGGGGTGTGGGTATGGCGAGGGTGGGGTGTGGGTATGGCGAGGGTGGGGTTTGGGTGTGGCTAGGGTGGGGTGTGGAGTGTGAGTGTCCGTGTTTATGAAGGAGAAAACCACACCCACATCGACATCCACACCCACACCCACGCCCTGCACTGAGTTGTGCTAGGCCGGGCCGGGCGGGCACGAACAATCTTGGCGCGCATTATGGATCGGGCTAGGCCATAAAAAGTGATCCGATTTCGAGACTTTGTACGAAACGCTGAAGGTTTCGTATGGAACCTATATTTTTTAATGTAGAAGATATTTCAGAGTGTACAGCCATGCTGTTGTTGGTTGCACTACAAAGCAATGTTTCAGAAATTTGCTTACATCAAAGTGTCGCACACGTCATCACAACGCTTGCTGATTCAGCATCACTTCACCTGTGTATTGACTTTGTGTTGTTTTTCTTGTAAGTTGGAAAAAACTCACTGACTACAGCCAACAAAGTGCGCCATTCTTCATTTTGTTATCAAATATTTATTATGCAAGTGAGGGTTGCTATTCAAGTATGCTGTATGCAAGCACATCAACTTTCCGCGAAAAAAGAACAAAAGCATGTGCGTCAATCAACTTTTTTTCTCTCTCTGTGTAAATGACTCCTTCGACATAAAAGACATATTGTATCATGGCCAAAGGATAAGATACGGGTTCATGGTGTTTTGTCGATTTTTTTTAAACATAAGATACTCATTGTCGACTTTTTGACTAATTGTGATCGAACAACACAGAAATGAAACTTTTGGGAAGCTCATTTCTCAAAATTATGTGAATCCTGATGAAGATAGTATAACGGTATTAGAATCACAAGAAAAGGTTCCGAAGTGATCCACGTCGTTTTTGTTCATATTTTGCCCACACACTAAGATAAAACGTGTCGCATGTGTCGCACTTTGCGACACAATGTACGACACATTAATATGCGATACGAGGAGCTCGTTGCGACACATTTCTTCCAGCAGACGTACGACACATTCTTATGCGACACATTCTTAACACGTGGTTCGAATCCATTTTTCGGCACGAGGATTCTTTTTTGAAAATTCGAATAGTTACCATTTTTCCAGTTAATTTCAAATAGTAGCACCTATTCTTGGAGCTCAAGATGGTAGATCTGAAGATCTACCTGTCTCGAGACCATTTGATCTCGATCAGACTACTTCGAGGCAGTCCATTCTCGATAATCTAGCGACCTCTCGGCATGTTCTCGAATAACAAATGGTCGAGATATAATCTAGAAAAAAAAAGACATACAAAAATGTACAAGTCAAGTACGTCCAATAGGCTCGATTATATTCAGCTGCACTTGCGAAACAAAATAGTGAATGAACGATTGACGTATAGGCTATGACACATCTATAATGCGACACATTTTTGTACGACACATTCTTGCACAACACTTGTACGACACATTTTATTTTAGTGTGCATATGTAGGATTCAATGAGCCTAGAAAAAGCCTAAAAGTGTAATGATTCATAGAATTTCCTTCTCGAATGATGATCATTTTACTGGGTTTATCACCTATGAACCTATGAAAAGGAATTCAATGAAAAATCAAATCATCGAATTTCGATCTGAAATCTTGTCCACATGCAGGTTTTATGGTCTGTATATTAGCTTAAAAGTTTCAGTCAAAGCAAATGCTTCTTTCTCGAAATATTGCGTTCTCAAGAAAATACCACCATGCTACACACGTGTCAGGAAAACCGACTTTTATGGAAAACTCAATTTTTCAAGAAAGAATTTGTTTTGATTAAAACTTTTGGGCTAATATACAGACCATAAGATCTGCATGTGAACAAAATTTCAGATCAAAATTCAGTAATTTGATCATAACTCAAGAAGAAAGGCCAATGGACCGTTATTGTTTTAGGCTTTTTCTAGTTTCATTGAACCTTGCATATGGGCAAAATATCAACAAAAACGGCGTGGATCAGTTGAAAACCTTCCCTCGTTAGAACAGATTTTATTTCTGCAGTAGCAAAAGAGAAAGTAGTTTTCAATAGGTCGAGTCATTGGATCTATCTAGACCTAAAGAGACTCTCTTGAAGAGGACCGAGTTCAAGCCATCTGATAAGACATGTAGCAGGGTCAAAATCACGATAATAGAAGCTCTAAATGAACCTCCACACATTCTCGAATTTAGTTTCCTGAAATGTGAAAAAGACCAAGTTATAAGCCATCTGATGAGTCTCTTCAGCAAGGACGAAACCGATCATAACGGATTGAATCTATCTTTCAAGTCAAATGGAAAGAGACACTCTAACAATAGGGTGAATCCATTTGAAAGCACATAATGAGACCTTTTCAATAATGGCCAAAACCGGTCATGGCAGCTCTAACTCACCACTAAATACAATACTTGCCATTGCAGCACCAGTTATACTTAGGACTGACCAAAAGTTCTAACAACGTTGCTAGCAATTCTATAAATCAGTTAACAATTAAGAATCTATTGTGCGAATAAATAGTATATTGTCTTGTCTATAATAATATATATAATAAATCTATTTTAGGCTTAGTTTAAATATTCTTTTAAATAAAACTCAATCTCCACTAAAAAAAATTTTACTCCATTTTCGAGTTAGTGACATCTTAGTTTTCTATGCCAAAAATGTGTGAAATTTTGAAAAATTTCTTAAGTTTAATATTGCAAGATTCAAAAAACTCTTCCTATTCAGGACTAATAAATCCCATTTTTGACGAGCTTTGATTTGGTATAAAATTCATTATATGCTCCTCTCTGGAAAAATATTATTTCCCATGGATACCAGGCCAGTTGATCGCGCCCTGTTGTTTGAATTCATTATCCATTTAAAAAAAAAATTTTTTTAGAGGGGATTGAGTTTTATGTAAAAGTGTATTTAAACTAAACCTAAAATAGATTTATTATATATATTATTATAGACAAGACTTTATACTATTTATTCACACAATAGATTCTTAATTGTTAACTGATTTATAGAATTGCCAGCAACGTTGCCAGAACTTTTGGTTAACCCTAAGTAGGTCTGAGTGATAGGTTTCACGACAAACATCTAACAGACCGGCCATCGTAGCGTGTAGGTGTAAGTCTTTCTTTCCGGCACCCACATCCACCCGCATCCAGTAGTGAAGGATTAGAAAGAGTTCTTTTGATTGACTTATCATTAGTGGCAGGAGAGCACCAAAATATTTGGTGTGGTAATTGCTAGAAAAGGTCGTTTTACTGATCAATTTTTGTCCAGTTATCAGTTATTTCAAACGTTTACGGTGTGACAATTGCTATATGTTGCCATGCTGTCGGCCCGTCACTGCTTATCATAAACAGCAATAAAAAAAACGACTTTATAATGAAACGACAATGTTGAATATAGTCAATGCGGCATGTATGCAAGAGTGTCACATTTTATTTTGTTCGTGTTTTTTTCCATTTCTTCCAACTGCATCGAGCGTAAATAATATTTTGTCGATACTTACCGTTATGTCGTCATTACAAAATATGTTGCCTTTTTTCTTCCCCATACAGTCATGACTGTTGAGAAGCACGGCGAGCAAAAGAGCGCGTAAAACAGCAGTGATTTTAAACATTTCTATCGCGCTATTCTTTTTAATTTCGTAAAAGTAACTTTCTTCTAGTAACGCGCACGTCCTATTCTTCTGTAAAGATGCCTTTTGAATCCACAGGGTACGTACAAGAAGTTTCCTAAAATATATATTTTCGAAGACAATTATAATAAAAGTTGATTGTTTGATGACCTATAATATAGATGATTAACCTGTCGTTTGTCGTCAGCATGTGATGTTTTGTTTTTTGCTATACTAACTTTCGCAGTTATTTCAGTGAATCGAAGTTCATTTATTTATATATAATCAATAGAACATAGGTCTTATTTTATCCACATAATGTTTGTAATGAATTTGTTTCCGAAGTCGAATAGTAAAATGAAGAAATCGATTTGTTATTTCCACTATCGACCACTGAGAGTTTTTCAGAAAAAAAAGCATTCAAGAAAAAATTATTTTCATTGTACAGGAAAACTTGAATAGTTGAGAATATTTTCCTTTCGTCTTCTTTGAAAACTTCTTCTATTCGGATAAATCTTATTCTAAGATAATCAAAAATCTCGTTTTAAGATTCAGTTTATATCGTAGCATTGTAGTAGAAATGTCAAATAGACTGCTGAACTATACTGAAATCTCTGGGGATGTTAGAGAGCTGAACTATCGATAGCTTAGCCTTCTTTCTTTGACTGAAATGAAAAAAAAACGTTTTCGTCCTGAATAGTGTCGCTTGAAAATGGATGCGAATAATGAAATACAACGATTAAATTGCTCATTAGATATATTTGCTTTGTTACCGCTAGAGAAAAGCCGTTGAAAAATTCAATCTGACGGTAATCAATAGTTGACGAAGTACATTCGTTTTCTAGAGCACATGGCTGAAATTTCTGCACGACGATCTCTAGAAAATTTTATTGTTGTTTGGCTTAATCCAAATATTGATAATATCCAACAATCCATTGTACAACTACGTCAGATTATCAATGTCGTACAAGTGTTTTACGACGAACACTCTTTTGTTGATTACGTAGTCGATGTCATTGAAGAGCGTATTTTGTTGATTGTTACAAAAAATATCAGTGAAGCAACGATCGAATTGATACACCAACTATCGCAAATTGATTCTATCTATCTATTTGGTTCGAATGAACAGCCAAATTATATCTCTAAGATTCGAAAATTTAAAGGTATTGTTCATGATACTGAGTCACTTTATCAGATGTTACGGTTAAATATTCGACGTACTGAACAGGAAACTGTTAGTTTCAATTTTATCGATGATCTTTCATCGTTTTCTAGCAATCAAACAAATAAACAAGAAGCAGCATTTATGTATATGCAATTATTGAAAGATATATTTATTGAAATGAAAGATGATAGTAAAAGTGAGATGATATTATTTTGTCGACAGCAATATGCAGATAATTACTATGCCCTACAATTTATTAATGATTTTGAACAAAATTATGAATCACATCAAGCTATAAACTGGTATACACGCGAAAGTTTTCTCTATAAAATTCTAAATAAAGCACTTCGAACACAAGATATCGAAGTATTATATAAAATCCGAATATTTATTCGAAATTTACATTTTCATTTACTCGAATGTTTTCATGAACAGAAAAACAATTCGACAACACGATTACTCTATAGAGGTCAACGTATGTCGAATAGTGAATTTAGAAAAATTCAAAATAATAAAGGTGGACTTCTTTCTATTTCAAACTTTTTCTCGACTACAGAAGATAAATCAGTTGCTATGATTTATGCAGGTATTTCAAATGATGATGAAATAGCTATGATGTTTGAAATCAAAATAGAATCATCTCTAACTGAAATAACGAGCCCATTTGCCAATATACAAGAATTCAGCAATTTCGGACAAGCTGAAAAAGAATGGTTGTTTTCATTTGGTTGTGTTTTTCGAATAGTCGACATTAAACAAAATATTGATAATCAACCTTGGTATATTCATTTAGTTTTAACCAATGAATTTGATAAACAATTAAAGATGATGACTGAACATTTTCGAAGTGATATTTCAATTGGATTACTTTTACCTATTCATTCTCTAGGCAAATTATCGTATAAAATGGGTATTTACATGCCTGCTATTGAATATTATGAAATGGCTCTAAAATCTGAATCATCATGGCGAGGAAAAATTATGATTCTCAAAGAAATTGGACAAACCTATGAACGTCTTGCTCTTTTTGATAATGCACTTGCTTGCTTTTCTAAAGCAATTACTATGCATGAGAAACTGAATGATAAACAAACAAATGATTATCATAGATTAGCAGCAACCTATGTCGGTATGGCTGCTATCTTTACAGCTAAACAAGACAAAAATCAATCTTTGAATTATTTAAATGAAGCACTCAATACAGAAATAAAACTTGAACAGCCTAATAAGGAGACTCTTCTTAATTGCTACAATGATATCGGTTTTATCCATTTTACAGAACAAAAATACGATGAATCCCTATTCAATTATCAAAAGGCTCTAGATATTGGGATAGAAATCTATCCAGCAACACATCCAGATATTGGTACTATATATATGAATATTGGTAATGTATACCAAGCACAGAAACGTTATGAAGATGCGTTAGAAAATATGAGAAAATCACTTGACATACAACTCACGTCTCTTCCAGTTGACCATCCGGACGTTGCTCGATCGTTTAATAACATATCTGGTATCTATCATTCGATGGGCCACTACGAAGATGCATTGACTTATTGTAAAAATGCATTGAATATCTATATGAAACGTATGCCAGAGAACCATCCTAATCGTGCCGTTTTATATAATAATATGATAGAACTCTATGATAAGTTAGGTCAATTGAATGAATCATTAGATTATCAGTATAAAAAGTTAGATATCTATCTAGCAACATTACAACCCGATGATGCCAAAATCGGTATTACTTATAATACAATAGCTGCTACTCTAGCCGCTTTACGTCGATTTGACGAAGCAGCAGAGTATGCTTTGAAAGCTGTTGACTTTACTACACGAGTTTTTGGTGCAAATCATCCTGCGACAAAAACTTGTGCTAAGAACTTGGAGGAAATATTAAATTGTCAGTAGTATGAATATTATATGATATCATTGTTGAAGTTAATAAAAATAATAAATATCGTATAAAAGATAACCGATCTATTAATTGTAGATTGTATTAAAGAAACTCTTTCATCTGTGTATCTTCTTTTTCGATTGAAAACAATCCTGTTAGTTCGCTGAACGTGAAATATTCCATTAAAAGATGTGGGTGTGAGTATGGGTGTGGCTGAAGAGAAGATTTACAACCACACCAACCCTTAAATGACGAACGTAACGGAAAGAAGAGCAACTTATAGACCACGAAAGGCATAGAAAACATTCGAAAAATATTGAAATATTGGTTTCTTCTGCTGCATTCATTGTGGGCTGCATTTTACAGAGTGCATCTTAGTGTCATTTAAGAACGTGGCCGTTAGTCAAAGGCAAGATATAGTAACAATCTTTTGAACATACAGTTAGGAAGTGCTTTCAACGTCGATTCTTAATAGGTAGTTTTTATTTTTAAGAATGTATTGTGGTCGATGCAAAATAAAATGAAATTTTTCCGAAAACTTTTTGTATCATTTATTGGATACAAAATCTTAATAGTTTCTCATTTGTTAGACTAAATTCATACAATACATTAATACTATGTGACACAACCTAAAGCACGATTCAATACAGATTAATCCATTTTCAAGTTTTGTTTCCATTTATCCGATTGTGATTCTGCAGCCTTAGTTTTTCTCCATCCTTTTAATATTCATTTTTACAAAAAAAAAAAACTTTTTCCCAATTTTTAATTTCTGCTTTTTTTGCTTATAGTTGTGAATTCAGAGCCTTGATAGATACTTCAATATTTCAATAAAAACATGAAACGCGTCGGCGAAATGAAACTCGGCATTTTTACATTAATTTTCATTAAAGCACATTTATTAGGCATTATCCTGCTGTCATTGATTTTCGACTAGATGGATGGCTGAAAAGCAAGAATTGAGGCTAGCAGATTGATTCGTATTTATTGACATATAGGTCGATCTGTTTTTCAATTGCTTTAAGTACATCATCCACACCCACACCCAAAGCGAAATCCTTCTAAGGTTTTGTTCGACGAAGGTCCCATGCAGATTGTTTTTGCATTTCTTAGAAAAAAGGCATTGGAGTCGAATTTTCCTATTACGTTCAATATAATACTATTTCGTTCATGCATCTTCATACAAAACTCCATTGAAACTACCTATATTTCTGTCTGATCATTCGATACGTATCTATAGTATCGTTTACTGGTATTTAATCATTCGGAATGTGGATGTGGGTGTTGTCGAGGAAATGATTAACAGCCTCATCGATGCTTCTACCCGTACTCTACACCCTCATGTGCATTTAAATCGTACGATATTTTTAGAATTTGTTCAGACAGTAGAGAAAAGACTAAGCTAAAATTTTTAGCTTTATAACAAAAGATTTTCGAGAGACATACATCGAGCAAGGGTCAAAATGTCTCAATGTACTCTTCCAAAATTTGCTCTCGCCCTTCATTGTGTGTATGTTTATTTTTTTTGTTCGGACAAGAAGCTCAGAATGCAACGCTGATCAAAGTCCTCTTTTTAAATTCTTACATTTCTGAGAAGAGAAAGGATGACTAGTATTATACTCCTAAAACTGCGAAGAATGGTTAAAAAAAACAGAAATTTATGGAGTGGCCTTTTGTTTGTCGAATTTATCATCCATTTACTCCTCAAAAAACAAGTGAAAATAAAAAAAGTTTTGACAAGTGCTGCGTTCCGCTTTTAAGGTTCGAAAAGCAGAAATGACAGAACTTTTATTGTCACAAAGCAGCAAGTACATTTATTATACCAAACAATCTTTTAAGCTTTAGCTTAATGAAATTATGAGAAAATTTCATGACAATCTCCTCTCTATATTGTACAAAATAAAGAAAAAAACCTCGTTAAATAGAAAAATAGAATTATTGGATACATTTTCTTTGAAACATATATTTTTCATCTGATTTAATATCTTTCATTAAATCTTGGATGTGTAGGTGTGGCTGATATTTATCTTTGAATAAAGATACAACAAAAATGCCAACAGATATTCATAAGAATTTTCCTTTACATTTTTGGAAAATGATATAGTATAATATAATAAATGCTAGTTAAAAATATAACAGATAAAATATCTGAAAAAGCAGAAAAAAACTTCGAAAACCAGAACAGGTGAGAACATTGTTGATAAACATTTGTCCGTATTATAGATGAGGCAAGGAAAACTATTGGTATAATGCGAAACTCCTTGGCTGACGAGGGAACTATCCGAGGTGCTAAAAACCTTTTCGGTCGGAGATGTGATGGTTAGATAGGGCACAGTTAGGAGTGATATACCCTGAGTTAGTTCGTCCCCAAGTTGCTTCTAGCAGAAGTTATGAATTTTTCAAGTTATGAGCAAAATGTGCTTTTTTGTCTCCAAATCTTACGAGGAAAGTACCCAAACTGATTAACCGTTTTTGAGCTCGACCTCTGTGCATAAGGTAAACTCCAATGAGGCATGAAAAACCTCACACTAATAAATAGAATGACCGTATTTCGATCTGAAATTTTACCTACCAATAGGTCTATTAGTAATTAAAATGCTCCGAAATTTTCAGCTAAAAGAAATGTTTCCTTCACGAGATATTGAATTTCCAAAAACACATGAGACTCCCGCATCTTTCACGAAATATGAGTGATTTTTGGAAATTCAATGTCTCGTGAAGGAAACATTTCTTTTAGCTGAAAATTTCGGAGCATTTTAATTAGAAATAGACCTTTTGGTAGGCAAAATTTCAGATCGAAATACGGTCATTCTATTTATTAGTGTGAGGTTTTTCATGCCTCATTGGAGTTTACCTTATGCACAGAGTTCGAACTCAAAAACGGTTAATCAGTTTGGGTACTTCCCTCGTAAGATTTAGGGGCAAAAACGCATATTTTGCTCATAACTTGAAAAATTCATAACTTCTGCTAGAAGCAACTTGGGGACGAACTAACTCAGGGTATATCACTCCTAACTGTGTCCTATCTAACCATCACATCCCCGGCAGAAAAGATTTTTAACAGCTCGGGTAGTTCCCTCGTGAGATACCTCTAGAAGACATATGGCACAATACCTAAAAAGGTATAGTAAAGTTCCACGAAATTTCATAAGTGCCCTAGTGCACCATATTTTTCCAGTGTAAGGGTTGGCACTTTACTCTTTCTAAGTAAAATAAACACGAAGTGCCATCCGTAGATATAACAGATAGATTTTATTTATTCAATGTATATTTCATTAAATCATAATACTGTTTATTACTGATACGAGTCGATTTTTTCATCGATAAGTATGATTTGATAACTCGAAAAAGACGCAAAATCAACAATGTAGGAAATAATACTAATACGATTTGACCATATACTATTTATATGTAATGCAAGGGATGGATACTTCTGTAGATTATTCATGCACTGTTGGCGAAGATGAGTATTGACGCTGCATTAATAATACCATTGGCGTTATTTTATTGTCTTTAAAATTCATGTGTTTCACTTCATTCATTGATTTTTTATGCAGCTGGGAGCAAGATATATCTTTGAAGCACTTGTTTTTTATCTGAAAGAGTGAATTCGAAGTGGTCGGATTAGTACTAAAGAAAATGCTTGCAGTTGTTACTCATTCTTAAAAATGAACGAATGAATAAGACCCAAGGGGGAAACGACTGACTTTGGACTTTTTTGACTTCAGTGACT